GGGAAGGGGGTCGGTGCTGTTTTCCGGAGCTCACGCCACCGAAGAGCTTCGGCTGCAATGAAGCCTTGGCTACAGTTATATAATGGGAGACCTTTTTGACAGTATCAAAGTATGAAAATTGAGAATTAGGTTTAACCCTTTCCGGAAATAAAACAGGAGCTGTTAAGATGTTCCAACACCAAATTCCCTCCTCGGCCACTTGGCTCCTCCCCCCTCTAGTATCCCATATAAACGTGCGTCTCAGAAGTAGCTCTCTTCATACGCTACAGTCATTTTGCTGGAGCAGCCACCTGATGACAGAGACTTATGTTACCTTCGAAACGTCGTGATTTGTTTTAATTTAGTTGTTTTCACTTTAATCTTATTTAGTTTGTTTTTTACCTACGTGACTTTACCGAAAAAAACAAAGAGTATGGATCCTTGCAGTCACGAAAACTTCAAATCTAGAACCAAATAATTTCGCAAGGAATCAAGTCTGCATTAACCACATGTACTTGTGGTGAACATGCAAACAATCCCAGTATCAAAGACAATTCGAATATTATCAGAGCATGTTTGTTTGCATGTTCACCACAAGTACATGTGTTAATGCAGACTTGATGGCTTGCAAAGGTATCTATTTGGTGACGGAACATCTTAACACCTGTTTTATTGCCGGAAAGGGTAAAATCTATTATTTTTCATACTCAGCTACGGTTATCGGGGTTGCGTGCAATGCGGATGGTTGCGTGCAATGCGGATGGAGCGTGTGCAATGTACATTGCAGCAAACACGCCACGTGCAGAGAGAGAGAGCCCTTTTGGCAATGCACTGCTGGTTGATCGCCCCTCCACGTAGCCGCGGGTTTGTAAAATAAATACAATTACCGTGAATGGTTCATTGATGTTATTGGAATTATTTTTCACGATTGCAATGACCACTGCTTGCTCCGTACTAGCATGGAGCAAGTGCGAGTGTGTATGCTACTCTGTCCGGATTTTGGGTTTTAAAGCCCATTTTTTGAGCGCATAAAATTCGTGAAACATTCATATTCAATTACATTTTTATTTTATGTATTTCAAAATGTCGATACAAACGTTGATTTTAAAATTCGGGAAACATTACAACCAGGACCCCTTTACGACGGTCCGATTTAAACTCACATTTTACGACGTTATACAAAGGCACCGTGGCTCGATTTACGACGTCAAATAATTTACGACGCATCTTCCCACAAGACTGCGAACACATTTGAACGGTGGTGTTTCTCCTGTGAAACTTAATAGAAAGTCAGCTCTTCTTCTTCTTCAAAGATCAAGTCACTTTAGCAGAGAAAGGAAGAAGACAAGGTAAGAAACAACCATTAAAAAAATAAACATTGCTTTGTGGTCATTTTGGTATGTAAAAATATAATCGCCCAGATCTGTCCTTCTGTGACTGTGATTGACGCCCCCGGATTGGTTGAAGTGCGTCACGTGACCGCGAGCAAGCAGCCAACCAGAGGTGCGCCCCTCCAAAACATGTACGCCCCCCGGATTGGTTGCAGTGCATCACGTGACCGCGAGCTGCCCACGTTGTGTTGTTGTGGTGCACCTCGGAGGGCCGAGAAGCAGCAACATCACGGCCACTGCGCCGGAGACGCAGCCACGGAAAGCTGACGGTCTATCCCAGGGGTCGGCAACCTACGGCTCCGGAGCCGCATGCGGCTCTTTACGGGCTGCTTCTTGACGATATGTACGTGAGTACAGTTGTACTCAGATGCGTTGCGGCTCTTGAAATACTGAATTTTGTACCGAATTGGAAAGAAATGGCTCTTCTTGTTATTTTGGTTGCCGACCCCTGGTCTATCCACTCACACACGGCTCACTCACACACAATCGCATGCAGCTCAACGGGTGAGTCAGATTGAGGCAGAGCCGTGCTGCGTCCACTGCTGCCCTGAGGGAGAGCCGTGCTATCTCCACTGCTGCCCTGAGGGAGAGACGTGCTCTGTCCATTTACATTAGTACTCGAGTTTTTTTGGTGCTTAAATCCACTGCTGGATGATATTTAAAAAATGCTGTGATCAGTAGTGTACCAAACATTCTTGTCCTATGAGTTAAAGTCACTCGGGGACTGTTTTCTAACGTGTCATAGCGTTCAGAATGGTTAATACTTTGTATATTGATTTAAGTGCAGGAACGTAACCGTCTCGCTTTTGGAGTCACCAAGGACAAGAACTGCAGACAATTGGAAGCTTCCTCGCTTCTGGCGTGTTTGGTCACGGCCAATATTGCGGCAAACTCGCGTGTTGGATCTCGCAAAGCCATCACGGTTTCGGCACAGAGGGCTTCGTGTCTGGACAAAGATGGAAAATTACGCGGACACTGAGATCCATAACGAGATTTTGTAAAATGATCAAGTTTTTTAAATAACATAAATATTCCGGAATATTATTGGCTTTATTGCCTATTAGTGTCTTCATGAGAGTAGCTTAGAATTGACTTTTTCATATAAGTACCCTGAACCCTCTGCAGGACCTATGAGATGAGGGCTTGTAGGACCCGAAATCTTGCAGTTGAGCTAATGTTAGATGTACCAAGACGTATACATCAATCCGTGGCTCCTTCAGCTGCTTGTAGCCCTGGGCTTTCACTTATTTTGCTAATGCCTAATGCCTCCAGTGGGATTAGATGACTTCAAGTAGATTTTTTTTTTTACCAGGGGAGAAATCAAGAGACCAGGATAATGCTTATTTGCAAGATTGACCTGGAGTGATGGGGTGCCACGGTGGTGAGATGCTAACTCCTTCGCCTGGTGTGCAGGAGGTCGTGTGTTTGATCTCGAACCTGACGCCTGCTGTACATTTGGAGTTTGCGTTTCTCTCTCCCCCTGGTCGTGGGAATTTTTCTCCAGCTCCTCACGTTTTACCCTCCACATGTATAAACATGTGTCTAAGAGTATATGGCTGCTTTAAATTTGCACGTGATAAAAGACTTCGCTGAGCTATCATTTGTGGCCGGGTCACTTCTGAAAAGAGCCATATAGCTCAATGGACCATACCTGGTAAACAAATACAATTTAGTTTAATAACGTGGCCCCCCCTATATTGACTCAGCCTTAAATTAGTACCTAGTGCAGTATGTAAACGTGAGCACTGTGGAGACAAAGGCGTCCGGGCGTGGTGTTGGCCACTGACCTCCCCGTGTGCCGTGCCGGCCTTCATAGGTGCTCGATGACAGCACTCATCCCAAGTCTGTCAAGGTCTATACAAGGGATCTTTGGAAGTCTTATATAAACCAGATACAGACACAACGTTACGAATGTAATGCATGCAGCATTGCATCTCCTAAGGCTGATATAAAGTGAAGCGCGAACACACGCATCATCCCTGCCTTATGCAAGACTATTACCTGTCTGGGCAGATATTGCGTTGGCACTGGCACATAACGCGCGTAATTATATACGCAAGCAATCTGTCAGAACCATAGCAATATTCTGTTTGCTGTTTGGGTTGTGAGTAATAGTGCTAATGAGGGGTGTGTTCCACCATCAAAATAAAAGGACGTTTTAATCCCATCAGTGCAGATATTCCTTTGTGAAGCAATGCTTTCCAACAGTATATGATAAAGCAGGATAAACTCTAGTATGGGCTTCCATTTCGATTTAAAGCTTTCGTGACTGCAGGGATTCATCTTCTTGGTTCTTTCGGTAAAGTCACGTAGAAGGGAAGTAATAAAATAATAAAAATAAAACATAATAAAATCAAATAATTCTCACGACGTTTTGGCTACAACGCAAGCAGCCGTCTTCACCTGAAGACGGCTGCTTGCCGTCTTCAGGTGAAGAACAGGTGAAGAACCAAGAAGATATGGGCTTCCACTTTCTAATTATCATATTTTAATGTATATGTATCTATCGCTACCAATATGTATGTTGAACTTCTTTCACGCCTTACGTAGCCAACCGTGTTAATCGGAAGGACAACGAACTAAACATAAACACATTTATAATAAAATGAGTTTTAAAACTCGATTTAAAAGTGCATAGCTCCAGTGGCTTCCTAATATCAGAAGGAAGAGTGTTCCAGACGGCCGCAAAAGCGCATCTGAACGCGCGCGATGCAGTGACTGTCTTTGTTCGATGGCTAGCCAAAGGCCGCTGCGAGGGTGACCAGAGTTCACGTGATGGTTTATGCTCCTTGACGAGATTAGCAAGGTATTGTGCTTCATCTGTGGCGAGCATTTTGTGTATAATGAGCGCGACCTGACGATGTATTCGTTCAGCAACCGGAAGCCGTTGCAGCTCGGTGACCACTGGACGGACATGGTCGGAGCATGCAGTGCCCGTCACGACACGTGACAAAGAATGTTGTACACACTGCAGCTTGCTGATGGTTTTGCCAGACGTCGCGTAGAGTAGTGAGTTCCAATAATCGAGCCTTGTTGTAACAATGCCATCTGCCACCGTCTGCCACCGTGTTGGTTATGTCACGACTCAAAAGTGGCCGGACGTGTTGTAGAGCCCTGACTATGTGAGGCCCATTCAGCTTAGTACAGCAACATTTTACGAACTCGCAAGTCTTGAACCACAACACACCACGGGAAGAGGAGTAGAGTCAAGGATTTACTGGAATGAATGGAATAAGAACATGGAAACGGAAAGGGAAGAGAGAAGGTATATAATTGGAAATGAGAGCAAATTTATTGAAAAGGAATATAAAGACGGGAGCAGAGGGTCAGGGAAGATGCGCGTGATGATGAATACGAGATGACGTCACGAGGCAGTCCTTTAAAGAGTCGCACGCGGCTCCGGAGCCGAGGGTGGCCAACCCCCGTGATAGGGGAACGAAGATGGCTTATCTCGTGGAAATGTAGAGCGGTGGTCAAACACTCCCCAACGCCGGTGCCTGCGTGTGGCACAGCGTGGCGAGGTCGTACCGGTGCTTATCGATGAGCCCGGATCCGGCTCAAGCAGCACGCGTCCTGTGCGCGGGGGAGGTGGTGGTGGAGGAGGAGGAGGCTCCGTGGGTGGGAGGTGACGAGACGAGGTGGATATGAGCAGCTGCGTGAGCTTCTCTCCCTCTCAGCCCAAGCGCCTGATTGACAGATTAAATAACAGCCATGTCCAGGTAAGTCTGGTTATGCACCGCTTGGCCGTGTTTTAACGCTGTGCTGTTATCATGCCGTGTTTGAAAGTTGGCGTTGTTCATCCGCGGCTTTGGTGTGATTTCAACGTACAATTGAATTCTGTATTATAGGAAAAACGGAATATGTTTGGTCTAAGATAGGATACGACGTAAGCAAGGCGTATTGTTGTGCCTACTGAGAATGGACTAAAATAGTAGTCGTTAGAATGTTAACTCTTTCGGCAGCGGTGTTAAGAGTAGATGGAAGATGTGTCATAGTGATAAACACAAGCACAACACTGCCAAATAATATGATTCACAACATGGGATGTAATAATTGAAAAATAGGATATTATTAAAGACAATGAGACTTAGAATAATGCATTGTTAGATGCCCTGGTCTGTTCTGTATGGGTGTAAATCCCGGATATTACAAACACCCTCTAGAGAAAATTACAGCAACACAAATCTGTATTTTTTTTAAAGAAGGATGTAAAAAGTTAAATGTGCAAACAAGATGGGGACCATACATGTTTCATGGATAGCACGAACGAAAATAAAATTAGACTAAATATTATTTTATTTTACAAGCTAAGGCTGACTGATCTATATTGCTCCTTTTCAAAAACGACCTGGCCACAAATATTAGCCCAACGAAGTCGTTTATAATGTGGAAATGTATAGCAGGCAAATACATAAAACGCGTGATGTTCATTCTAAATGTGAAGGGAGGACCCCGAAAAAAATGTACGCGACCACGGGGAGAAAGAGACATGGAAACTCAAAATATACAACAGGCGTCAGGGTCGGGAACGAACCCACGATGTATACCAGGCGAGGTAGTTAGCATCTCGCCACGGTGGCGCCCATTGACGGAGACGTTGCTGAGTTTGTGTACATCAGGAGAGTGAGACAATTGTCTAAGGATGATTTTACCCTCACAGTTGCAGGTGTCGAGAGTAACTGTACGTAGGTACATATTTAGTTTTTTGTTCTTTTGCACCGTACGTAGCCAATCGTCTTAAGTCTGGAGGGAAGGACACCAAACTAAACACAAAATCGCAGTTCTAAAGAAATTAGTTTTCAATACACACTTAAAAGTGCATAGCTGCTCCAGTGGCTTCCTAATATCGGAAGGAAGAGCGTTCCAGGTGGCCGCAGAAGCGCATTGGAAAGCGTGCGATGTGGTGACCGTCTTTGTCTGATGGCCAGCCGTAATCATCAGTGTGCAGAGCGTCATCAAGAGTCGAGCATGGACCCGAGATATTTTGCAGACTTGTGCAACAATTAACACGCGTGAATATGTGTCTGTGTGGGTATCGAATCTCACAATCCTCATCAAATTAATCAGATTCACCTCTTCATTAAACCACCGCTGGATAAGATTCCACAAGCCACGTCGGCCGTGGAGAGTGTATGACCAAACTTCACCACGCTGGTCAGTGCGGGGATGGCTAAAGTGCGGTGTGGATGATGATGGGAGATCAGGGCTGCTGGCTCAACATGGCACTTGCCACGAATGTTCGCCATGGCTCAGGTGTCTGGGTTCACCATATAGCGCAGGAGCGCAGGGCGCTAACCACCGCTCCGGAACCGCACGCGTCTCGTCAAGGACTGCTTTCGTGACGTTATTTATTAAGGGACCTCAGATTCGCGTGGTTGTTCGCACCTCCGGATTAGCGCGGTTGGCTACGTACGGTGCGAAAAAAGTTGAACACACAGTACGTACAAGGAACACCGTCTCGTATTCACCACACGGTGCATTGCGGCTCTGGAAACATTGAGGGGCTTTTTTTTTTCTCCAAATTCAAAAACACATTTATCTTCTTATTTTGATTGCCACGCAACAACAACAAAAACAAGAACAGCACGGGCCAGGCCAGGGGCTGTGTGTGGCTCAGTTGAGCGGCCGTTTGACTGCGATGCTATTATTAGCACGAGAGAGATGGAGAACGAGGCGACGCGCCCCTTACGCTGTCCTCGCTAATTGCGTTACAGGAGGGGGGGCAGGCAGCTGGTGGTGCCTCTGCGTGCGTGAAGCGGCGCCCTGGGTCTGCGGGCGGCACTTAAAAAACACGCGAGAGGCGAGATTGAGTTTTATTTTCGCTTCACCGGGAGTTATGATGGGATGGGGCAGTTCGGGCCCCTGGTAGATCAACCAAGCGTGTCCTTCACTTGTCCCTAACGCAGTCGCTTTAACCAAAACAACAAGAAGAGCAATTTTTTTTTATATTTGGTAAGTAAAAACAACTCGATGTTTCAAGAGCCGCAATGCACTGTGGTGAATACGAGACGGTGATGGTCCTTAATGAACGACGCCACGATGCCCCAGTCCTTCAAGAGCCGCACGCGGCCCCGTAGCCGCAGGTTCCCGACCGCTGGCTGAGCCGCACCCTGGCGTTGCCACTTCGAGAGCGCCGCCGCCGAGTCGGCCGAGGGCAGGCGAAAGCTCGATGTGGCGAACGGCTGCTCCTCAAGGACACTACAAGATAACTAGCGCAATATCTCTCGATGCAAATCAGCTCAAGCCTCCTGGACATCACCAGCCAGCCCCACTCTGAATCCCTCCCCTCTCATCTACACATCGTTCTCTAAATCAGCTCAAAACTCATGTAAACCACGTGACTTGTGTGTGTGGCCAGCCCCACCATGAATCCCTCCCCTCTCATCTACACATCGTTCTCTAAATCAGCTCAAAACTCATGTAAACCACGTGACTTGTGTGTGTGGCCAGCCCCACCATGAATCCCTCCCCTCTCATCTACACATCGTTCTCTAAATCAGCTCAAAACTCATGTAAACCACGTGACTTGTGTGTGTGGCCAGCCCCACCATGAATCCCTCCCCTCTCATCTACACATTGCTATATCTCAGCTCAAGCCTCCTGTAAACCACGTGACGTGTGTGGGGCCAGCCCCACCATGAATCCCTCCCCTCTCATCTACACATCGTTCTCTAAATCAGATCAAAACTCCTGTAAACCACGTGACTTGTGTGTGGGGCCAGCCCCACCATGAATCCCTCGCCCCTCCCCGCCGCCCGCTGTGGATACGCGACTTTGTTCAACAGCGTCGGAGGCCCTCATGTGGCCTCTTCCTCCCCATCGCCACCTCACCTGACCCTGTGGTCCTATTTTTCGTTCATTTTCAATCTTTTTCTTTTCCGTTACTTGTTTATTTCCCCACACGTTGCATTCTTGACTCTCCTGTTTACGAGTACTTTTTGTTTAATTTTACCAGGTAAGGCCCACTGAGCTATGCAGCTCTGTTTCAGAAGCGAAACAATATCTCAACGAAGTGGCTTATCACGTGGAAATGTATAACAGCCAAATACTACGCATGATTATAAATGTGGAGGGCAAAATCGGAGAACCCGGAGAAAAATCCACGCGACCACATGGAGACAGACATGCAAACTCTAAATATACAGCAGCCGTCAGGGTCGAGATCGAAAACACGACCACCTGTATACCAGGCCAGGTAGTTAATATCTCGCCACCGTGGGGTCATGGTGCCTCGGGTACAAAGTTGTTGCTATTAAATCTATAAAGGAAGTGCCATCTTATTGTAAAACTCATCACACAAAGAGTGTGCATCGAGTTCGACCTCTGTAGAGGAGTGTTGTGAGCAACCAATCAGGGGGCGAACAGAAGGAGGTGCGAGCGGGTTGACAGTCAAGGATGACGTCACGTTCTCACTCTACCTGCCCACGTGGTGCCGTCCGCCCAGCAGTTTGCCAGCTGAGCAACTATCGCTCAGCACCATGCGAAGTTGTATAATCTCTTACCAATGACCGCTCACGTCCGCGTGCAATCATTCGGTTTTCATCAGACAAGCCCACGTAGTGATATGCCGACGTGCGTTAACCATAGGCAAACAGGTAAATGTATTCTTTGGGTGGCTAAAATATTTATGGCTGTTGAAGGGTTTATCCATGAAATATACGAAAATAAATAATGTGATTTTGATGTATTAATAATTTCATGTAAAGGCAACATTCGAAAACGAGGGAGTGCCAGGTTGCCACGAGCAGAGCAAGTTGTAGAACTAACAGACCTGTGCTCAGAGGTTCACCAATCGCTTCAGTGTACCACGCACCCTGACAGTGGGTGACGTTCACTCTCTTTCCAAGTCTGGCATTGAGAGGTTTTGTTGGACACGATACGCCGAATTTGAATGCCAGAGCTGGCGATGAATAGGTTTCAGCGGCCTTAGACCTGATGGCCCTGGAACCAACCGCATATCCGTGTGACGTGTGTCGCGTTATTATCGCGCTTGCGCTCCGCTTTCCTCGTCAAGACACCATCGTGTGATGTCCATCCGTAATACAAGCCTGGAGTATGAAAACAAGAATAGGTGTTACCCTTTCTGGCAATACAACAGGTGTTAAGATGTTCAAACACCAAATAGAAACCTTTTGCAAGGAATCATGTCTGCACGAGCCACACATACTTGTGGTGAACATGCAAACAAACATGCTCTGATATAATATATGCATTGTCTTTGAAGCTGATTAGCCAACACAAGAGACAGCTTTCCTTATGCCCTAGTCTCACCACCAGTGTCAGACCAGAGAATGCCAAAAGGTGAACACGACGAAGACAATGCCGCACGCATCAGAGCATTCATAGCTCGGGGTGAGCAGCTAAATCATGGGGCTTTTTTTGTCAGTATCCAAGTATGAAAAATCAGGATAGGTTTAACCCTTTCCGGCAATACAACAGGAAGTGTTAAGATGGAGGTCTTATTTCTCTCCGGCAGGTCAATCACTGTTGGCACGATTAAACGGGAATCAATCCCATTAACTATTTTGCGTCTCCAGGGTGTCTTCCATCTCCAAAACCTTACCCTCTGTGTATCACGAATACCAAGACAAAGATCCCCTTCACATACTTTTGGGGCAAGCGCTGTCAGTGAGCACCTATTAAGGCCGACACGGTGGACGAGTGAGTGGGTGGTCAGCACCACGCCCGACTGCCTTTGTCTCCCCAGATGGCGACGTTT